GAGTGGCACTCAGACAACCCCGCTCGAGCGGCCAATACCACGCTCGAGCGTACAACGCTGCACAGGAAAAATACTGAATGGGTGTAATCTCCGCTCGAGTGCCCAAACCCCCGCTCGAGCGTACAAGCCAAAATCTGGGCAACTAGTTTTGGTTTCTAAACTCAACCAACCTGTAACAAACCCGCCCAACACATCCCACAACTCAAATATGAAGTAAAGAGGATGCAAACAAGATAATAAACCATAACTAACATCCACGGACACATGTCCGGATCACTGTTCAACAAGGGAAAAACCCGGGATCGCTATATGCATAAAATTAAAAATGGAAGTTCATTAAAGAAACCTCTATACATTAGCGATCTATTTGGAAATTAAATAAAAAAGGAAATTGAATAGAAAAGGAAATTGAATAAAAATAGAAGTTGAAAAAAAATAAAAATGGAAGTTGCATAAAATTAAAAATGGAAGTTCATTAAAGAAACCACTATACATTAACGATCTATTTGGAAACTAAATAAAAAAGAAAATTGTATAGAAAAGGAAATTGAACAAGAATGGAAGTGGAATAAAACTAAAAATGGAAGTTGCATAAAATTAAAAATGGAAGTTCATTAAAGAAACCTCTATACATTAGCGATCGGTTTGGAAATTAAATAAAAAAGGAAATTGAATAGAAAAGGAAATTGAATAAAAATGGAAGTGGAATAAAAATAAAAATGGAAGTTGCATAAAATAAAAAATGGAAGTTCATTCAAGAAACCTCTAAACCTTAACGATCTATTTAGAAATTAAATAAAAAAGGAAATTCAATAGAAAAGGAAATTGAATAAAAATGGAAGTTGAAGAAAAATAAAATCGGAAGTTGCATAAAATTAAAAATGAAAGTTCATTCAAGAAACCACTATACCTTAACGATCTATTTGGAAATTGAATAAAAAATGGAAATTGAGTGGAGATGGAAATTGAATAAAAGAAGAAGTTGAATAAAAATAGAAGTGGAAACTGCGTAAAATTAAACATGGAAATTCATTCAAGAAACCACTATACCTTAAAGATCTATTTGGAAATTAAATAAAAAAGGAAATTGAATGGAGATGGAAATTTAACAAAAAGAGAAGTTGAAAAAAAATAGAAGTGGAAACAGCGTAAAATTAAACATGGAAGTTCCGTCATTGAACCACTATACCTTAAAGATCTATTAGGAAGTTAAATAAAAAAAAAATTGAATAGAAAAGGAAAATGAATAAAAATGGAAGTTGAATAAAAATACAAATAGAAGTTACAAAAAATTAAAAATGGAAGTTCATTCAAGAAACTACTAAACCTTAACGATCTATTTGGAAATTAAATAAAAAAGGAAATTGAATGGAGATGAAAATTGAATAAAAATAGAAGTTGAACAAAAAATAGAAATGGAAACTGCAAAAATTAAACATGGAAGTTCATTCCAGAAACCACTATACCTTAACGATCTATTTGGAAATTAAATAAAAAAGGAAATTGAATAGAAAAGGAAATTGAATAAAAATAGTTGTGGAATAAAAATAAAAATGGAAGTTGCATAAAATTAAAAATGGAAGTTCATTCAAGAAACTACTACACGTTAACGATCTATTTGGAAATTAAATAAAAAAGGAAATTCAATAGAAAAGGGAATTGAACAAAAATGGAAATTGCATAAAATTAAAATTGAAAGTTCATTCAAGAAACCACTATACCTCAATGGTCTAATTGGAAATTAAATAAAAAAAGGAAATTGAATGGAGATGGAAATTGAATAAAAATAGAAGTTGGATAAAAAGAGAAGTGGAAACTGCAAAAAATTAAATATGGAAATGCATTCAAGAAACCACTATACCTTAACGATCTATTTGGAAATTGAATAAAAAAAGAAATTCATTGGAGAAGGAAATTTAATAAAAATAGAAGTTGAATAAAAATAGAAATGGAAACTGCATAAAATTAAACATGGACGATCATTCAAGAAACCACAATACCTTAATGATCTATTTGGAAAGTAAATAAAAAAAGGAAATTGAATAGAAAAGGAAATTGAATAAAAATGGAAGTTGAATAAAAATAAAAATGGAAGTTGCATAAAATTAAAAATGAAAGTTCATTCAGGAAACCCAATGGTGAAAATCGAA